GGGTTGGTATGATTTCGTGGGCAGGTTCGTCTCATCGGGTTTCATATTGGTCTACTGAGCTTACTTGGATTTGTCATGTTAGTGCTGGGTCGTCTTCTCGGCGGCATGTGTGGCGGTTAGCTTGGACTTCGACTGTCTCTCTCCTTTGGCGGGAGCGGAACCTTCGTATTCATGGTGGTCAGGGTCGCTTGTCATCTGTGCTCCTTAGGGTTATTAAAGCAGAGGTGTATTTTCGTTGCACTACTTGGCCAGGGAGTTGTTGTAAGAGCTCTGAGCCTATGCTTGTCTCTGCTTGAGACTTATTTTCGTGATTTCTATTGTTCTCTTTACCGTTTTGTTTTGTTGCCTTGATCTCGGGTTGTGAGATCCTCCTTATGCTTTTCTTGTTTTTATATATCTTATTTACCTTTTCAAAAAAAAAATGTTCTAGCGAAACTCAAATCCTTCACAGTTAATAATTTAATAACAATCTAACCTTATAAAAAACTTCTCAATGAAATCTTCACTAATCATAAACCATCCACTACACGAATCTAACTTTCACAAATAGCAACGAAGCAAAAGCTAACTCAAGTTCAACTTGAACAAATGTATTATAYTGACAAAAGAGATGTAGCCGACATATATCCATAAACGCATCCAACACTCTAAAAAATTTCATAGTAATCAGAAGACAATCAATATGTATAAAGTAGTACCAATCGCAAGCAATCACGCAAAAACATTCATAAACACAAACAAACATTTCATACATAGCAACACACAACAAACGATCCCCTCAGTAAGAAACTACTTACAAACAAAGGCCTATTGCACTATTAAGCTAGCCGAAGGATTCCAAAATCAAAAAGCAACCAAACTTTGGTTACAATCGAACTAAAACACTTTAATTGAATCGAGACTCAACTTAGATGAGTCGTTACCTATTAACTCACACTAAAACCCCTTGGGATGGGAGTTGGTCGACGTCGAGCGGGTTCCGGCTCCCAGATCTGAGTTCAAAAGGCCTTAAGCTTGCTGTTCCGATGTCTAAAAGCGATTGGTAATGCTGATTTGGGTCCGAATAAGAGTGGGTAAACGTCAAAACGTGTCAAAACGAAGAAATCGTCGCGAATTGCTGCTGCTCGGGTGCTGGCCATGGGGTTCAAGGTCACCGGAGGGGAAAACACGCCGCTGGTCGCTGGAGAACGCCGGGTTCAGTACAGGCCACGCTGGAACTGCCAACATGTGCCGCTAGAGATCGCGGATCTGACGGCTGTCACAGGTTCAACGACGCACTGTTACTTGTGGGTTCGTGGGGTGATGTCGTGGAGCATCGAAGACTCGCTGGAAAAGCGTCAAGCTGCTGTTGTCGAAGGCCACAGGAGGGCTACGCACTAATCGAAAACCGTGAAGACGAGCCACTGCTACTCGGTCGTCGCTGCTGCTGCTGACCGCAGTGGTCATTACTACTTATGGGTTTTATTTTTGGAAAGTGCAGGGTTGGGGGTTTCACTCATATAATGGCTATAAAAGGCCCCATCCAAGCTATGTAAAAGGCAGATTTTAGCTGAATGAAATTTGATCTCTCAAGAGACATTTTCTTTAGAAATCCCATTGCCATTTCTAAGGTTTCTTACAATTCTTCTGATAGATTGCATTTTGAGGCATTCAATCCAGCCTTGATCAAGTTTGATTGTGGAATGACTCATTCTCGAACAAGATTTCCATTCTTGCTTCTAGATCTTTGATCATAGAGGTAATCAATTTCTAGCCTTTCTCTTGGTTGATTGTAACTTGTTTAAGGAGGTGTTAATTTCTTTGATTCAAGGGTTCTTGCTCAACAAAAGCTTGGATCATTGGGCTGAGAATTAGGATTGCCTTATCATTTGGTATCAGAGCATAGGTTGCATCTTTGTTGTCTACTCTAGAATTGATTCTATCTTTCATTTCAATTGTTCAGTGTTGATTTCTTGAAAAAAAAAATCCAGAAGTTGTTCAAGTAGTGTTCTTGAGTTGTTCATTCATATTTCTCTTTAATCCGTTTCAAATTGCACGAAACTTTGTTGTTCATTGATAGTTATAATCAAATGTGTTGTGACTGTCCAAATTCGTAACTGCAACATTTAATGATTGTAATGCCTATTGAAACTCCTTGATAACGTTCGAATTTAATTGTTTCTTCTGAAGTGAAACGTTAGATCTGAATGTTACCTTTCAAAGTTAAGAAGACCATTTAGTCAAAATCATAAAGTAATATATTCGTTTTTGGAATTCCGTCTCTGTGTGAAATTTTAACGGAAAAATCCTGCTTTGCTTCTATACTTTATTCTTTTCAGAATTGAAGGAATTTGTCATTCAAATTTATTCTCTTTGCTTCATAAAGACTAATTCCATCATATTTAGGACTGTCTCTTTATTTGTGTGGCACATATCTCTGAATTTCGTAGAAGGCATCCTATCGTTGTTTTCTTTGTTCTAGTTGAGATTTCATAATTATCTTGTCTTGGCTGTTTTGTAATGTTCACTATTACAATAATTGCTTGGACCACAAGTTAGCCTACCCAATATCAACATTTAGTCACTTTCCCAAATAGCCTACCTTTGTGTGTGATAGACACGAGTGTTCCGAGTGAAAATCAGTGAGTTGAGTGTGTGAGGTCCTAAACATATTTAACTACTGTTTGTAACGTCATGAATCCAGATGGGGGAAATGGAGCGGATATTAGTGAAGCTAGGTGGAGAGAAGCACAAACCAAGTAATTAGTACCTTGTCAGACCGGATGGAGCGAATTGAAGTAGCTTTAGGAAATCATCAAGGAAGGGAAGTTAATGAAGGAGTTGAAAATGAAGAGAAGATGACAATGTAACCCTTTTAGCCGGGCACAATCCGAGGGGAGTAAGAGGTGCAGGCCGGGGGAGAGGAAGGGGAAGAAGAGTGGGAAGAGAAATGTTACCACTAAGAAGGGTTGATAGGGAGTACCAATATGAAAGGGAAGAGAGAGGGGCCGGGGGAGTGAAGCTTAAAATTCCATCCTTTCATGGGAGATCAAATCCGGAGGAGTATTTTGCAATATGAAAGCAAAATCGAGCATGTATTTGATTGCAACAATTTTAGTGAGGAAAGAAAGTTGAAACTTGCAGTGGCTGAATTTTGTGATTATGCCAATATTTGGTGGACATCTTTGAAATCAGAATCGAGGAGAAACTATGAAGAACCAATTGAAACTTGGGAGGAATTAAAGGCCTTAATGAGGAAGAGGTACATTCCTAAGCATTATTCTCGAGAACTCAAGCAAAAACTCTATGCGTTGCAACAAGGATCCAAAAGTGTGGAAGACTATTACAAAGAAATGGAGGCCCTTATGAATAGAGCTGGAATTGATGAAGATGCGGAGGATACAATGGCTACGTTCCTTGGCGGGTTGAATCGACCGTTGGCTCATCAAGTGGATAGACAAACTTATTTTGATATGAAAGAGTTGTTACACCTTGCTGTCAAAATTGAAGGGCAATTAGCATGGGAGAAGGAGAACTCCAAGAGGTATATTTCTTCTAAGTCAACTTCTTTTTCTACTAATACTTGGAAAAAGAATGCAGATTTCAAACCTAGAGGAAAGTATGAGCTTGATAAAAAAGACAAGCCTGAGAGCTCCAAGGGCAAGGAAAAAGTGGAGGGATCTAAAGAGGTTCGAGAGAGAAACATGGACATCAAATGTTGGAAATGTCAAGGGATTGGTCATATTAGCCGTGATTGTCCAAACAAGAGAGTCATGATCATTAAGAATGGAGAAGTTGTTACGGATGGTGAAGAAAGTGACCAAGATGAGCTAATTGAAGAAAAGCTCCAGGAGGATGAGGAGGAATTGGAAGATGGGAGTCATTTGGCACTTGTTACAAGGAGACTTCTTAACATTCAAGTTAAGGGGGATGATGTTAATGACCAAAGAGACAACCTATTCCACACACGGTGTTTAGTTAATGGGACTCCTTGTAGTCTTGTTATCGACAGTGGAAGTTGCACCAATGTAGTAAGTACATTCTTGATCAAAAGGCTGCAAATTCCAACTCAACACCATCCTAAACCTTACAAGCTTCAGTGGCTCAACGATAGTGGAACAATGAAGGTTGTTTCTCAAGCTTTAATTTCTTTTACCTTAGGAAAGTATACAGATGAGATTTTATGTGATGTATTACCTATGCATGCTGGTGACATCTTGCTTGGCCGACCTTGGCAATTTGATAGGAAGGTCATCTATGATGGTTATTTGAATAGGTACTCTTTTACAAAAAAATGGTAAAAAAACAACTCTTGTACCTTTGCGTTCGGAAGATGTATTTGCTGATCAATTAAAGTTGGAGAAGAAAAGAAAAGAGTTTGAAGAAAAAGAATTGAAAGAAAAGAAGGAGATGGGTGAAAAAATAGAGGAAAATGAGAGAGAGAGAGAGAGAGAAAGTGGAGAAAAGAGTGAAAAAAGAGATGAAATTGATAGAAAAGAAAAGAAAGTTAGTTGTTTGGCTAGAATGGGAGAGGTGAGAAGAGCAATGTTTTCCCAAAAGCCCATATTTGTACTTATGTACAAAGAAGGGTATTTGGCTTCTAACGATAACCTTTTGCCTTTGCCGAGTTTGTTTCAACCTCTTTTGCAGGAATTTGAGGACGTGTTTCAAGAAGATATACCTAAAGGGTTACCTTCAATTAGAGGTATTGAACATCAAATAGACTTCATACCGGGGGATACCATTCCAAATAGGCCAGCTTATAGAGCAAATCCAACTGAGACAAAGGAAATTCAAAGGCAAGTGGAGGAGCTCATGGAGAAAGGCTATGTTCGCGAAAGTTTGAGTCCATGTTCTGTACCGATCATATTGGTGCCAAAGAAGGATGGAACTTGGCGCATGTGTGTGGACTGCAGAGCCATCAATAAAATCACTGTAAAGTATCGTCATCCTATTCCTACGCTAGATGATATGCTTGATGAATTCCATGGTTCTTGTCTATTTACAAAGATTGATTTGAAATCTGGATATCATCAAATTAGGATGCATGTAGGAGATGAATGGAAAACAGCTTTCAAAAC